GTATATTTGTCATTTCTTTGACTGGTCAATTAATGAGTTAATCTCATTTCAAGACCGTAAGACCTTCAAATAGTAACTCCGCCACCCAAATCCCTTTGTCCCTTTGCTTAATTAGCGCCAACTGGCTCCAGAAGACGACAATACTCATTATCATGAGAATTGTTAGTACTATTATATTCTTATCTCTGTCTTTGTCATAAATTAGTACTCATTCCACTCTAAACTTTATAATCCACACTTTTACAAATCCAACTCAAGCATAATCTGATGTGAAACAGTACAGATATAATCAGCATGGCTTGCTTAATCGTTCAACTCATATTAGAAAGATAATCTCAGTTCATAGTTTTTTTTTTTTGGGACCAGCAAGTTCATAGTATATTAATTAAAAGTTTTAAATATAATCTGATATATAATGATAATTGCTCATCACACACAAATACACAGCTTGAATGATTGGATTATAACGCTAAGGCGACCAATAAATAATTGAGGTTCAAAGGAGTTAGCATGCGCATGATCACCAAAGACTGAAAAGACAGACAGATGAATCAGAGACATCTGATTTGACAGAAGAAAGATACATGGTATATGTGAACAGTACTTGCTTCTTCTTTGACTGTTTCTTCTGGATTCTGCTAAGTACGATCCCAGATAAAGGCTTTGCTTTTTTTATTTATTATTTTATTAGATTTTTATTTTGATTTTAAATATAATATTTTAATCTATTTTATTTTTTATATTTATATACATTTTTTAAGATAGTTCTTCTAATAATGATAATTTTAACTAATACATTTAATTAGTAAGAATATTTTAAAAAAACAGTATGTATTTATTACAAATAACTAACACAATATATTTTATTAATCTTTTTAAATTAATCAAAGTTTTATATGTAAGATTTATTTAGTTTATCTTCTTGTCCAGCCACCTCTTTCTGATGTCTTCATTATTATCTGCTCCGTAAACGAAGCTAGAAAAAACCCCACCCAAATCATTGAACCCATCTCTCTCCCTTCTTTTTCAAAGTCTTCCTCTGTGAAAATGATCAGAGCAAAGCAATGGTCAAATACAGGAAAACAATTGGCAACAGATTATTGGTTGGTTATGATGCAGCGAATTAAAACCGCCATAACATGTCAGTATCACAAACTGCAATTTCTTCTCCCTATTTTTCCTTATCTGCCAAACATGCTACGTTGTAGGGATATAGGGATCTATGTATATAGATATATAGTAGCTAAGCCTTAGACTTTGCTTGTGAATGATTCTTTCCCAAAACGTGCTTATTTTCGTCCACTTACCTTCAGCCCACAGCATCCACTGGTCTTTTACCTTTTTTTCACTTTTAAGGTTTGAAGTTACCTATTCAATTCACCTTGGAGATTCTATTTTTGACTCATTCGGGTGGAGTATTCGGACGCTTCTAAACTAGCAATTTTTCTTTTCTTTTCAGAATTTCGTATTGAGCAAAGTTTTAAGTTTTGGGTGATATATATATATATATATATATAATTTTACTCAATTTTCTTGACTTTTTAACTTATATTTAAAGTGTTTTTGTTACTTTATGTTCTATTTGATGATTAATTTTTTTATGAGATAGAGCTAGGTTAATTTTTATAGATTTAAAATTGAATTATTTTTTCGATTCTAAATATAAGATCCACTTTATAGTGTAATTAACACTACAAAATAAGTTTTATATTGAGGACTGGATAAGTATTTTGATTTCTATAACTATTTTGATGTTGATACCATCTAAATATAAGAATATTTACTATCTTATATCATTTTTTAAGTTAAGATAAATGAAGTCTCAGAGAGAGAACATATTAAATATTAGATTTAAAATTTTGAATTTTATATTTTCCAAAGTTTATGAAAAATTTTATAAAATTTGCAACTATTTTTGTTTCAAAAAAATATTACTATCATTAAGAAAAATAATTAAATTATCTATATATATGATTTTCATAAAATGTAATCATAATTTCTTAAAGAATACGGTAATATAATTCTTAAAACCTAATAAACAATTTATTTTATTAAAATAATTTGTTTATAAAATTTTCAACTCAAATTTGACTGGAATACTAAAAACTTGCGTGGATTCCAATGAATCATGTGAGAAAAAAAATACTGGAAAAATAAAACAAAATTTCATAACTTGTTAATAGGGCAACTTCTTAAAGACTCCAACATAAGAATAAATTCTTTTATGTATGGCACCTTTGAAAGAGAGGAAAAATTGGAAGAAAAGAGCATGAGAAAGAAAACAGGGGGAGAAAACACATTTGAGCTTGTTTGAATAGGGAGACAAAACGAGAGGAAGATAAACGTACGAGGAAAAAAATAATATGTGAGGGCCAAAATTTTGTCTCTAAAAGTGAAGAGATTTTAGGGAGAAAACTCTCGCCCCCAAGTTGGCCTCAACTATTTGAGTTCAATAACTTAATACTTATGTATAAAAAAAATAACTTAATACTTATTTTTCTGTCTTGAATTTTAGAGTTAGTAAAGATGTTTATTTTAGTTTTAGATGTAAAATTTCAATATATTTTTCCTCCTAGATTTATAATTTCTATTTTAAACTCTCCCTCAGGGTTTTCTATTAAGAGACTAGTTTCTTATGCAAATGATTAATATGAATGCTTTACAAGAAACTAACCCGTATTGATTAATAATTTAAAATCATTATAGTTTACAAAAATCAAAGTTTTAATATTGAATTATTAGATGTAGCTAGATATTTTTCCCATAAAAGAGAAAAAATAATAACTTTTTTTTAAATGCTACTTCTTTATTTGCAATGGATAAATTTCTTTATTCCCAGAGAACCCCAGAAAAAGGAATATGCCCATTTATATTTTGTATTCATACTAATTTTTTTTAAAAGAAAAAGCTTGATCCATGTGGTAGCAAAAATTGATGTGAAGAAAGAGATAAATGTAAATTGGAAGAAGAATAATTAAGAAAGAATATGATAATATACTCATTTCATCACACTTCCACCTTTGCTATCAAATCAATTTCGTTCTCATTCTTTCACTATCAAAGCATATCTAAGCGTCTTCAGACCAAACTCCTCATGGACCATTAAAACCTTTAACTTTCTTCCTTTACCATTCAGGAATACCCACTCTCTCTTCTTTGATTGCATTATTCCATTATCCTGGAAAACCCACCAATAATTGCTCTAATGATTCACTCATTTTTGCTGTCTTTGTCTTGGGTTTTTCTAATTTTGACCCCATTACACAAATAAATCAATCAGTTCTTTGATGAGTTAGTCCTTAAGATACTATTGAATCGTCATCAAAAATGATAAAACGAAGTAGCAACAGCAAATCATTTCACATTACTTGGACTGGGAAAATAGACTTCAAGGGAATGAGTCTTTACATTGAAAAGCCACTACAATGATATTACGGATAATAAAGGAAAGTGTTTTTCATTCCACTTGAATTACTTGAACAAGTTGATTGATTGATTGAATTGCTATATTCCATTTATTTCCTGAATTCAACTTCACTAGAATAAAACGTATCACATTATTGATCAGCAAGGATTGGAACCTCTAGTAAAGGATTCGAATATTATTCACTAATCTTGCATGCATAAAAGTAGTGCAGTTTGTTTCACACTATATATGGGGAAAAAAAACATGTTTAGCATATAATAAAATTTGTAACATTGCACAACTCATTTATCATACACTATGTAAGCAATTACAAGAAAATGCGTCTAAATTCATGTATTTTGGTTAATTGGACAGAAAGGTAATGAAAAGCCTTCAACTTCAATTTTTGGTCCTCAAGAATATGCACAAAGTTGATTAGATGCATGATTTGATTTTGATTCTGCTTTATAAACCAGTCCTCAAGAAGGGGAGAGAAGACTGACTGGCTTACAGGACATGTGGCCCTTTTCAGTGTGATCATAGACTGTGTACTACAAAGGAATATCATGCTTTAAATTAATTCTCAACGTCATGGAATATGATTCAAACTAAAGATGCCCTAGAGCCACAACAGTGTAAGCCTACCAAAGATTGGAATCTCATGCTCAAGAGAGAAAAAAGCCCGATAAATCAGATGGCAAATGAACATTTACCATCACAAGGTTTATCTTTGTTTCTTATTAAATTCAAAAGATTTGGGTCCTAAACATTACTCAGCCCTTATCAAATTCATCCACTCTAATGTTTCCTTCTGTGCATATAATTCCACTTTCTAAAGTTTGCCTGTAATGAAACCCTCTGTTGGGGAGTCATAGTAGCTTTTAGGGGGGGGGGGGTAAATAGCTCAGGCCAGGTCACCAGTGACTATATGAGAATTCTAAAATCATCAAAATGTAGAATGAGAGAAGCTGCATCCCACTAAGTGAGTCTCATCCAAAACTGCATCAAACATGACATGTTTGGTATATATATATATATATATATATATTTTTTTTTTTTTTTATGGCCTGGATCTTCCACACGCTTTTTCAAGCACAACTCATTTCATCATTTGGCTGTGGGCTAGGCACTAGTAATTCAATGAATGGCCGCCTTTCATTCATAGTCTTGAAAATTTGTCTCCTAAGAATTCACCTTGTAATCTCCATCATCAAAGTTGTTGTACACCAACAGAAAAGAACTTCTCTAGTTTGACTTTGAATATAAAATGTTTGGTATTTAGTGAGATGCAACTTGAAAAAGAACACAGCTGGATTAAACACCAAGAAACAAATTTGATCATGTGGTCCAACATCCGTCTGTCAGCCACGATGAACAAATTAATTCACCAGAACAGCACATCAACTGATGATCATGTGAAACAGAGGATAAGACAGATTACCAATTATTAGACAAATGTTAATACATTATAGGTAAAAAATCTTTTCAAGCTTTAGATTCATTCAGTTCAACTGAATTGACCAAAATAAAATGACAACCAGAATCAGAACCCTTCATCACCCACAGAGCCCACTAAGAAAACGAGACCACAAACTGCTCAAATCACTTCATTGGGTGTAAACAAATACATTGAAGAACAAATAAGATGCTTCAGAGTTCACATTACATAATCATACTGGAGTGTGTATATGTATAACCAAGGAACTACTGATTACCCAAACGAATTTACATGTCAATACCACAGTATCAAAGTGAAAGTTTGTACATGCAATCTTTTTTATAAAAAGAAAAACTAATTCTATATCTTTGTCAAGTGAAATTTGGACAAATATTAACCATTGATCTTCCTGCATCGTCAAAGCTATTCATAGTCCGCGATCAAATCCTATTTCCCACCCTTACCATAGCTGTCTTTTAAGGTCACTGTCCGATTAAAAATTAGTTTTTCAGGAGTGGAGTCCTGGTCGACCACAAAATAACCTGGAATTGCAGATACAATAATCATAAATTACAGTAACAGACAAAAGAATTCTAATATATTGGTACACGCATTCTGCAGCGTGCTCATACTTGTGAAGTGAGACAATACCGGGCTTATACAAAATTTATATCAAACCTCTCAACACATGCATATTATTCCAACCATGACACACTTCCCTCACCCTCCGTGCACTCTTGCTTCAAAACACTAGCAATACAAATTTTATGTATTTATTTAAAATGAATTCAGAACTTTTGTCTATAGTCAGACTGCTTTTGCTCTGACGAGTCCAGCACCTTCAAAGTCACAATAGTTTAGATTCTGACTAATTTAGGTTGGGCATAGACCCCTGCAATTTCCCAACTTGACAAGTGCCTCTTTGAATTATATAGGGAAAACCATTTTAAAGGTACCTATACTATTCCTTAATTTTTAATTTGGTACATATGTGTTGTTGGCATCTTAATTTTTACACGTTTTTATTGTTTTTTTAATACCTACAAAATGGTTTTTCCAATTATATATTCATGCAATTATGTATGGACTCAACATATTCTAGTCAGTATTGCTCACTTTACATGTATTTTGAAGTAAACTCGCAATGAAACTTGAGTTTAGGCCAAATTTTAAGTGGTCTTTATGGTATTAGATTTTGCATGGAGCTAAAATCCCCAAATTAATGGAATCGAAAAGGAGAGCAAACATCCCAAAGGGAAGAACTAGGTTGAGGTTTGAACCATCCAGGTCAAATTTAAGAGTTCGGGGGGTTTGAAGATTATTTGGATTCTATGCTGTCCAGCAAGTCCCCAGCTGCACCACTGAAATTCAGCACATTAACAGTAAGGCGATGCCACAGCACTGACCTCCCAATGCCACAGGACTGGCTTTAATTTCCTATTTTGCAAAACAAGGATCTTCTGCCTAATTTTTTCATCAATAAGTAACTGAAGTTTCATTGGACAAAATGAAGAGAGATTGAGCCATGAAGGAAGTCTGGTGTTGGGCCAGAGGTTTTGCAGGGAAGAGAATGATGGATGGTGAAGAGGAAGATATCCTCCCCTTCCAGTTCTCTTATTAGGTCGATTGCATAAACGCTCGTCACTTGCCATACTGTATTGAATCACCCTTTTCTCAATCGTGTTTAGGATTTGCAGTTAATGCTTTTGTCCTATTGCCTTGATTTCCGGGTGGATTGTTGAATTCTATGTACATGCTATGGAGTATATGATAACAAGGCATTCGACAAAGGTAGCTAATGACTTAACACTTGCCATAGAGGACATGCTACAAGGAAATCAACAAAATGCTTCTTAGGGTAATTGGTGTTTAACAAATCCGTTAGAGGCATATGATGTTGATTTACCTTGAATTCTTCTATTATTGAGCACTCATGGATCTAATACAATTGGGAGAGACCAATTTCGGCTACTAAATTAACCTTCAAGCGAGAATAGTTCAACATATTGGATTCAACTATTCACGTAGTAGATATAATTTGAAGATAGTTGACCATAATGAATCAGAATTCAATATTGAACATGAATAATTAATCTAATGCAATTGCCAACATAGATTTAGTCTTCAGGAGAATGAGTTTTTTCTTTAGAGCCTTTAGTTATGTCCTAGAGTTGAATCTTCATGTAATTCTCTTGAATGTGCTATCACTTCCTAGTAACTAGGGAAATTGAGGATAGAAGGTAGAAATTAATGCACATGCTGCATTAATTGACAAGTGAATTAAGGTTATTCCCTCCATCCCTTATTATAAGATCCAATTTTTTGAATGAGTTTGTCCCTTTTTATAAGATCCTCTTTGAGTTTGTCTGAGCATTTAATGCAATATTACCTATTTTACCCCTAATTTAATGTATTTAATACATTCTCTTTCTTCATTTATCTCACTATTACTCTCTCACATTTATCCATTTATATATAGGGGTATATTTGGAAAAAAACTGCATTTGTTACATATTACTTACTTTTAATTAATTTTAACCGTTTTCTAAAACCACGCAATTTAGTTAAAAGGATCTTATAACAAGGGACGGAGTAGTATTAAATAAGGCTTATCAATCCCATAAGGAATGGAGTTACATATACTATACTAGGTCTCCATAGTTACCTTGCGAAAGCCTTTCTAAGACTATTGAAATTGGAGACAATACGGGCAACACCAGATGATGTGTCATTAGAGCTTGACAGGACCACATTCATATCATGTAAAGAACTACTCTATTGGCTTTTGCTTTAATATTGCGGGTCCAAGAGTGCTAGTTATGTTATTATATAGTGCTATTCAAATAAAAAGAATCAACGAAGGTTGCCAAATTTACCTAATCTTTCAAATTGGAACCGCTCACCAACTTTCACATTTCGTAATGAGTCCAAACCATACGCACTTGGGATTACAACTTTGGATTGGGGGTTCAGATCACCAAGCCAATCATCGAGTTCAGCTGGATTCTATTGCAATTATTAGAATAAACATAGCCAGTCAGCTCTAAAATAAAACAGAATGATCATTTGATTGAGGAGAAGGAGATAAAAGATGGCCAACCTCTGATAGGAAAAGCTTTTCAAACAACCTGACTTCAATCCTGAGCGGATCAACTCCGGGGGAAGGTTGAGGAACCCAATGAAGAACACCCTATACATCAAGATTTGTTCATGATTAACCAATATTGTCACACAAAATCCTAGAAAGCATTGTCTTTAACATTATGATTTAGCAAAAACAACTAACCTTAGGCTTTGTCTTCTTTGAAGGATCATATTCAGCATGGATTTCTAAAATAGTCTTGTCATCAGCTAGAACAACTTCAGTGCACTTTATAGGAAAAGCATATCTGCACCGAACAAAGATCTTGAATATCGGCTTATATAACTTCTCATGTACACATGACAAAATATAACCTGCACCTTGTACTAACCTTAGTATCACCGATTTACCAGGAGCAAGACCATAATAGTCTTTGGAATCTTGCATCCGAAAATCTGAACTTTCAATGTATACAACATTGGTAAATGGAATCTAAAAACAAAACAAAATCCAAAATCAGTAACAATGTAATACATTAAAAAAAAATGCTAAGCACAGAAACTCATACTGTGAGGGGATACGGTAATATAGATTAATATGGTAGGCATTGGTGCCAATGGATGAACATTAAATAAAATTAGTTTAGTCAAGCAAATAGGATGGAATGTAAACAGACTAATACTCTATAGACATTGGTTTCCAGAAAATCAACTTCACCTTGTAGAAAGCAAATGCATCATCAGCCTTAGCATCAGGCCATTTCTTTGCATCCACCTCCATAGTTGAGTTCGCTTCCAGATTAGTAATAACAACCTAAAATCAACAAACAGCTTTTAGCTAATTAAACTCAACAGTATGCTATGGAAGAGTCCATCTAAGACGTGTACCTTGAGTGGATGTAGCACAGCCATTGTGCGAGGAGCCTCCCTATTCAGTTCTTCCCTAACATGATACTCAAGGCGCTCCACAGATATTAAAGTGCCATCACTGCATCAAAATGATCTCTTTTTAAAAACAAAACCAGCCATAACCATATTCATATATCCATTCAAGTATGCTTTTAAATGCATGCGCAGTAAATAACTATTCATTTCTTGCAAATGAACAACAGCCTCTGTCAAAGCTTTGCATTTGTTATTTCACAATAACAGTGAAAACTCATGGAGCAGAGCATGTTCCAGATATAGTATCCGCCTGGGAAGGGGAGGGGCGGCCTCGTTCAAGCAAACAAATTTCATTAATTACATTAAGCAATGGATAGTTATTAAGACAAAGCAAATAAAGTTCTAAATATCTTTCCCATGAAAAATAATAGCAGCTTTTTTTTTTTGGCATATAGTGTTCTCTTCTTTTTAACTTTTTACTTGGATCAAACTACCTAAGTTGTCAACACTGATGCCATCTTAGATGATTTACACTTCACCAACCTGTAAACATTTTTAATGATGTCTGTCTTCAAAATTTTAATGCTTCTTGTTATTCTTTTATGAAATTTCATAAGACCTTGTTAAAGTATATCAATAATTTCATTCATCATAAAATAAAAAATAAATTCTACAAGATTTATCCTTTATGCTTTATGCTTTAAATTCAATTATGAATACCAGTTATCAGACCAAAAAAATAATGAATAGCAGCATTTAGCATTTTCTGTATTGGTATTTCCCACTCAAGTCTCAACTATGAAGCAAAGAAAATAAATAAATAAATACATCATAGTCACTCTATTTTATAACTGCTTTTCAATATGGCCGTCTGGCAGAGGAAGTATTAACGGTATTAAGACTGACATCATTTCAATAAATACTTACATATGCAATAAGGAGTGATTGTTGATTAGCGGAGTATAGCTGTATATTAGAATGCAAAACACTACAAATTTACCCAAGAGAATAAATTTTATTCCCATTCTACATGATTGTCATAAAATTTCCACCAGAACATTATCATCAAAGTTAACAGCTTAACACAAGCTTTGGGAGGGTTAATTTTTTGAAGCAATGTAATGGTACATTATATTATATTTTACATATATCTATGTGGTTAGCAGAAATAAAAATCAAAAGAAATAGAGGGTTTTGAAGTCAGTTTACACTGCAATCAACTTGATCAAATAAGAGTTAACGAGAGAAAATGTCAGCAAAACTTTCAAAGTCACATAAAATACAAAATTTCAAACAATTGATGTATGGAATCTGAATCAATGGCCAAAATATTTCAAGTAATTCTATCGTCTGTAGTAAAAACTAAAATTTTTATTTTGTACAACTAATTGTCAACCATGGCGGTGGTCACATAAATAAATAAATTCTTTATGCATTCATATCGTACCTTCTAGTGATTCCAATTCCTCGAACAAAAGCGTTGATTGCAGTTGGGGTCAGACCTCTCCGCCGCAAACCTGCTAGTGTCATTAAACGTGGATCATCCCAACCATCAACCCACTTCTCCGTCACGAGACGATTTAGCTTTAACAGCAAGACATAATAAAATTAGGGCAAAAAAATGTGTTATGAACAAACTTTAACATGTTCAAAACAATTGCCTCACCTTACGCTTTGACATAACTGTGTTAGAGATATTCAACCTTGAATATTCCCAGACATAAGGTTGGTAGAGTCCCAAAGCATGCAATAACCAATAGTATGATGCACGACGAGTCTCAAATTCAAGTGTGCACAGCTGCATGATATATGCATAAACTGACTAAGAAAACATAACACTTGGAAGGATAATAATAGATCATATAAAGTGGCATGCATTTGAAGTTATAGAATCAGTCAACAAAAACGAATTGGAAAGCTAATAAATCATGAGAAACTGCCCCAAAGAGAATAAGTGAAAAGCCAAAGAAGAAATATTACATCAAAACAGCTCTCAATCCCCTTGGAAAAGACATGATTTCTAGCCCAAAGAGAATAAGCAAAGCCACTCTAACCCAAATACAGTTAAGTAAAATAAATAAATAAATTTAAATTAAAATCCATGCATTCCACACCATGGGCACCCCTAATTCAAGTGCCTACAAAAAAAATAGAGCCCTTGACAACCAGTCCAGCACTTATAATAGGGTGCAACTTCAAAGTGCAAAAGACCAAGAAAGTTTTGAAAGTGCATGTAGACCAGTCCAGCACTCGCTAGAAAATGGTTGTAAATTTATATGAATTAGAATGGACGATTTCACTTACTTTCTCAAGATATAAATATTTTAAATTGAAAATAGCACATTGAAAAATTTCAGTGAAAGGGAACTTACTGAATGCGTGACGTTTTCTAGAGAGTCCACAATGCAGTGAGCATAATCATAACTGGGATAGATGCACCACTTGTCTCCGGCGTGAGGATGAGGTGTAAACTAAAGGCATGAAGCATTCACACCATAAGATTGTGTGATCCCCATGAAACTTTAACTTGTATGCAAACATATTTGGTTGCATGCTCACCTTAATACGGTATGCAATGAGATCATACATATTGTAATTATCACTCTGCATATCTTGCTTCATTCTAAGTGTCGCTTTTCCTTCTTCAATAAGACCAGTTCTCATATCTTCAAAGAGTTTCAATGATTCTGCAATTGGCCTGTCCCTCCATGGACTGTTCAATTTCTTCTCCCTATACTCTTTTATCTCCTCTGGCGTCTAAAACCAAATCATTGAATACTTTGTCATCATGGAAATTAAGCAGAATGAATCAAGAACATCATGCAATTATCTTATCCTCTATCAGTTTGTACAGTCATTTGATACACATCAATTTTATCCCAGCCAATATAATTTAATGCAAAATGAGACAGCTGCATTAAATTGCAAAAAGGCTAAGAAATTATGCTCTGGGCGAGTCATATTAGTTGATATATTTATCCCATCCACCACTGACAACCCATTTAACAGAACAGTTTACCATCTATATTTGTGTCGATAATGTACAGAGATGTTCTATTACTAACCTGATGGTCAACATATGCATGACCTCTTCTTATGAGCTCCACAGCTAATTCATACAGTTCTTGGAAGTAATCACTGGTATAAGTAATCTGCATAAAGTGCAAATCTCTTAGTTAAAAAAGCACAACTTTAGCAACGAAAGAGAAGTCACCAAGGTAAACTAACATACCTTCAATGGTTCCCATCCCATCCACCTCACAATCTCTTCAATGTGATCAATATATTCCTTCTTTTCTGCTTCAGGGTTTGTATCATCATACCTAGATCATCAAAGATCATATTAAAAGTTCCTTTAGAGAGCTGATGGAAACTTCGTAGACATTTATGATGGTCTATAAAAAGCCAAACCTGAAAAGGCGTTGATATAGGAGCTAATAATCACGATACAAACCAAAGACAGAGGGAGTGGGTGGTTGACAGGGGCCATCCCCCACCCCAAGAAAAAAGTTTTCAATTTTTTCTCAGTATTACACCAGTGTTATACATTTCCAGCCCCCCAAATCCAAGCAGACTGTGTACTGTATATGTTTTTCAATCTCAACCTCTCCATAACTAAATCATGAGGCATTCCAATCTTTAAAGTTTAATTTAAACTAAAATAATGAAGATGTCAAACGTTAAAAATAGTAAAATTTAAGACTTGTATGTTTGAGATGCTAAACACACCCCAACAGACAATCACCAAATGTAGTGTGCCAAGGACCAACATCTACTGAGCAACACCAGTAGCAAATATTTATATAAAAGAAAATCAATAGTGAAACATAGTCACCTTAGATAGCACCCTCCACCTCTATCTTTGGCCAACCCAAAATCAATAAACATTGCCTGAGGAATAAAATTGTTAATAAAAAGGGTCATATATTAAACAGCACGTCTATATCATAAATACACATTATGTACCTTGGCATGACCAATATGCAGGTATCCATTTGGTTCAGGTGGAAAGCGGGTCAAAACACTCCCACCCTTTGCTTTTAAATGTTTTTCAAGAAGCTCCTTTCTATCCATGAGGTGCTTGTCAAGAATCTCCTTTTTAGCTTTCAAGTGCTTGTCAAGAATCTCTTTTGTATTGCAACACCTCAGAATACTACCATTGCTAAAAGGTACTTCAGTATGCACCTGAAAATAAACAAAATATCCATGAGCTGTTGCACCTACAAGCTAATGCTACTGAAAGCTGAACGTTTCACCAGGAAACCCAGCGTCTAGGAAAAGTCATAATCTTGACAGTCAAGAAGGCTTCATAAACTAGAAAGTTCTGACATAGTTATAAGCCACCCCACTGCATGGATACTATCACATAAAGAGATCAACTAACAGCACATTGGCATTACTTAACAGCACAAAAGCAAACTAACAACGTGAGGCATGAGTCTACACAACACAACATGAACATAATTGAATGAATATGAAATTGATAGTTAGAATAAAACAATCATATACCTTAAAGTTTTCCTCGGGATTGGGGAATATTAAAAATGGATTTACATCTTCTTCGGAGGGCTTTTCTGGAACAGGCACATCAGCCGCCTTAGCCTATATGAGCATGTTATCAAATTTGTAAAAATCCTCCTCCACGCATGACATAAAAATAAAAGGTAACAAGAAAATATTATATATGCATATTGCAAAAGAACTCACATCTACTTTAGCAGGTTTCTCTTTCTTCTTTTTTACGGGTTTTTCATCATCTGCAGCTGTCCTTTCACCGAGCAGTTCATATAGCTTAGCATCCATGACTTGCTGCGACCCAAAAATAAAAAGAAGAGCAAAAGAGCAACGATTAAAAGCACTATCATCAATTATGATATAAAGAGACTAGTTATTTTCATATTAGCTTTCTTTCAGAGCCATTATCACCTTGACAACTTTAGCATCAGCCCATGGATGCCTCTTGCGTACATGCCCCAGCAATTCACCGACTAGCAAAAAGAGAAGTTAAAATTCATAAGTGCTGAACAGGTCCATCGTTCAGAATTCATAAATGCTAAAACTCATTTATGCCAGAAAAAAGAAAAACCATCATATATTAGAACTGAGATCAGATTAAATAAATCATAATATAGTTGATTGGTGCTTAGAGGGGAAAAAGATGGTAGTAAACCTTCTCTTCCATTCTCCTCCACTTTTAGACCTCACAAACAATATGTGGATATCTTAAACTATAAATTACATAGTGAATATCTATGCTGCACAGATAACAGTTCACAAATTCAATAATAACTCAAATGCAGAAGATTTAAAATTTTAAGATATAGCAATAAATAGTCAATAATTTTGAATTCAAAACAGTTTTACATTATTAAATTAGTAGATTCCATGAAAATAGGAAATTGGACACCTACCGTTAGTTCGATACCGTTGCTCCACAATAGTAGACTTCTTTTCTTCCACCACTTCATTAACAGTCTGTTCAATTTCTTCCAGTGAAACCTCAACACCTGCTCGTGTATGTAAGAAATTAAAACACAATCAACACTAAATCAGCACTCAATATTGAAATCAATATAAGTGGAAGGAAACAAAAAACCATTAGCAGTATATTTAAGACAATAAAAAGGATTGGATGCAACAGTTAATTTTGTGACAAATAGCTCTTTCTACCATACCAATGCCACAAGCTTCTTCAAACTTCCTCAAATCAAGGTTATCTGGCCCCAGAGCAGCCAGAAAGGACAGTGCTGCATCCAACTGTGCTGGTGTTTTTATCTGCAATTAAAACTGTAGTGAGTCCAAGACTAATACTCCAGTATATAAATTTATCCAGGTCAATTCATATGCAGTGGATTTCATGATAAACGTATATCAAGTAAGTAATGAAAGATGATATGGAATGACATAATCACATAAGATAAAGAGCAATGACAATGCATAAGCCAAGTATTAAACATTAAAAGGAACTATTCTGAACACCTTTGATGAAACAACATACTGCAAGAGTGTCGGACGATGCACTAAGGCATTTGCTGGGTACTTTGTAGCTACCTGCCCCATAAGTTAATGGCAAGAATTATTGCTACAATTATTGAGGAAAAAAAAAACTGACAAGAAAAACAATAATATGAACAACTTTTATTTAGTAATGTAGAGTACATATATGATCCTATAATTTATCAGACTGTTGCTGCATCCAGAAAGAAAGAAAGGCTTTTTTTATTTTCCAGTAATCCGTCCAGGCAAAATTTACTGCAACCCACGATATTTCTTACCGTGTAAAGTAGATTTCCGACGGTCCGATTACATCCATCGGCAACACCAGCCTTAAAATACCCAAGAACCAATAAAAACGTAAAATTAGTCCACAAAAGAAAAACTTCAAAATTTACAGTTGAAAATATATTAGAGATTTCACTCCGGGGAAAATATCCTTCCACCATGAACTAAGTTTCTGGTCGAAACAAAGAGGTTTATTACCTCATTAATGACAGCAGTGAGATTGGCTGTGACTTTGTTGTTAGCAATTGTGTTACGAGCCGTGCGCTCGTCTAAACTGATCTTCAGAAATAACTCCAAGCATTTATCCTTATCGAAGTTGTCATCTTTGGTCGGCATTCTCTGACAATCAGGGAAAAAAGACACTCAAAATGAGCATAGACGTTGAATTGGGAACCGCCCAAAATTCTATAAACCAACGAAAAACCATAAAAGTTTCCCCGTTTCTAATAGAAAAATGCATCGAGAAACCCAAGTCAGGAATCAGAAGTTGCATGTTCTTCAGAAGTTATAGATTTGAAAGGAGTGAACTAACCGCTGGTTTCAATCCAATAGAGAGACAGTAACTTCACGAGGATGGTGAGTCAACGGCGACAGCTCAGAGGTGCATAAGGCAGCGGCGGGGGCGGAGAGGCGACCCAGCAGAGGCCAGCGAATGGAGTGAAGAAGTGGCGGAACAAAGAGAAACAAATAACGGGCTTAGGTGCGATGGGCAATAGGGGAATATTAGAAATTCAGTGTGTAAGAAGATCCGATAATGAGAGAGGAATCTCAGGCAAAAAAAAAAAGACAATGAGAGAGGAATCAGAAGGCGCTGTAGCGTGGGTTTGCCGCCGGTTTGGCGGTTTGGGGACGACGGATTCTTGGCTCAAAGATTCCCTGTTTCTTCTTCAACGTGGGCTTGAAGTATTGACTAGCTTGGGCTTCACGCACATGGGCTCTCTCAATATATCATCGGTAACGGTTTTGTACTGCAAGAAAAAAAGTCGCCGAAACAATTGACCACTATCTATCTATCTATCTTCCACCCATATCTATCTATATATTCTATCTATAATCTATCTATCTATCTATCTATCTATCTATCTATCTATCTATAAAATTCTATAAATGTTGTAACTGGCCTGCGATTGGTCCACATGGCTTTCATCTATTGGCTCATGTCTTTTAATTATTTGTTGTGGCTGTTTTATGATTGGTCGATGTGGCCTTTCCTGTGACTTTTTATTGTTAGTTTCTATCGGAAGTTGAGGGGTTAGGAATTTAAGATTTCTTTATGGCGATTAATACTTAAGATTATTCATTTTTGGGGAGTGGAGGAATGAGTTTGTGGGAAAAGTTAATCGTTTCAGGAATTTATGTTTTGTTTGAGGCAATTAATTCTCATGATAATTAAGTTTTTTGGGAGAGGACGCATGGGTTTGTGGGAGATGTTAACCGGTAAATAAGTGGAGGATTTAATGCACAGTGCCGATATGACAGCCTTTGGATTGCGATGGTATTCATATGAATTAATAAATCCTAAGGGCTGTGAAATAGGGGGAAATAATTATTGAGCAAAATATTACACCTAAAGAGAGTGGCTTTTACATTCTATTGGGCTGTGGTTGTTGATATCATCAAATTTCTTTCAATCTATTGGTTGCCCTTGAATTTCTGCTAATACATGCATCAGTTTTGAATTTTTTGTCTCCATTTGTTTTTGAGAAGTGAAATTTCACTAATGTGTATCTTTACATTTTTCTTTCTATTCTTACAGTATTAGTTTAAGAAACTGCATTGATTCATTGAACATCCCCCATAATAGTATACATCTGAACTGTTTTACATGTCACATTTATTAATCAAGTCCGTCCTTTCCACTCTTTTAATTACAAGTATTTTCGAATTCCATCATTTTCCTTTTCGATGTATGGATTAATGAGCTATCTCTTTGTTTATACACTTCTCTAAGAGGTATGGAGATATCAACCGACGGGCATATGTCTTGGTGATATCGATAAGCAGTGTGGCAATAGTCTTTTGTCTTCAGTTCTCTGCTTTCATTTTCTTTGCAACTAGTCTGCTTATTGATCTGGTATTACATGGCATATTATAATATTTTCACGTATTTTGTTTTTTTTTTTCCATGTCTGAACATAACCATCTCCTTCAAGTTTTCATTTTGTGATTTCACTCTTCCCATTTTTTTAAGTTATGGATATTGATATATGGTGCGGCAACTGGTATATATGATATTCTCTCTTCAATCTTTGTTCATTTTCATTCCATGTTCTTTTTGCTATTATTTCTTTTCCCTCTTCCAGTTCTTCAAAGAAAGGGGACCAAATAAAAGGAAGGTAATATCGAAACCCTTGAATTTATATGTCATGAGGTTTCATGTATTATTTCTTATTTTGTTTTTCCTGATCACTGCCATTCTTCCACTTATTAATCATGATTTGTTGTTAAATGTTAATGAACATGTCCATTTTCTTTGTTCTTGATAGTGGAGGTCGAGTTCAATAATTAGGACAGGGTTCTCCATTTTCTTTCTTTGTTTTTTTCCCTGCAGAGAATCAAGATGGAAAATGCACTTTGGAAAGGACTAAATGAATATCAATCAGAAGAATGGAAAAATGTAAAATACATGCTCATCTGTCATTCATTTGCCTTTTTTATTTCATGGAATTGGAGGTTATTCCTTTCATAGTATCATGTCTTTCACGTATTCTCTCGACAAAAACTTCTGGTGGCTTTTACATATTTGAAGCAACTAACATTTTCTATGTTTGGTGAGGAATTATCATTAGGATAATTTTTCATTTTAAATGCAAAAAAGATATAATGTATACAGGAGAAAATCTTGTATGGAAAAAAGCATTGGATTTATGAATAGGAACAAAATATGCAAAACTTGTAAATAACAAATGTCATTGCGATCTGGGGAAACTTACATAGCTGTTGAAATCTTAGAAGATCTTGGTTTATTAATCTATGAGAAGATCTCACAGCAGTAGTTCCCTTTTTTCTTTTTTTGTTGATGTTGGTGAACAGAGAAAATGAATTTGAGAATTGGATGAGTCAATATTGAAGTGAAGATCGGTGAACATATATTAGAAATGGAGATTAAGCATTCGATTTATTATCTCCTTTGAGTCTTGGGGTATTGAAGTGAAGATCGGTGAATATATATTGGAAATGGAGATTAAGCATTCGATTTATTATCTCCTTTGAGTCTTGGGGTATTTGAATTTCATTTGAAAAAAAAAAGGTAATTATTATCGGTTTCGTTACATGTCCTCACATCAAGTTTTTGACTTAATACCTTGAAGAGGTGGAAAAGAATTAATTATTTTGTATATTATATTCCTATTATAGATTATGGGTATATGAGAATTTAAAAAAAAGAAAAGGGAAGAACAGTTATAATGATAATGAATATTTTAATAAAACGAATAATATGATAAATAACCAAAGGAATAATAAATTTTTAAAAACACTTGGAAAAATGTTTCCTTGAATGAATAATAAAAGAAATTTTATTTTTTTTTTGCATTTCCAGTCACATGAAGGTTAATAAAATTATCCCCAAAAAAAAAATCAATAGCAAAAATGCAAGACTTTCGCTACTCTTATCATCACAGAGCATTTTAATCGTCTTCTTCACATGAAGAAGAAGGAAATTGGAAGATGTTTATTGATTTATTTAATTTTCCAGTTTCACTTTATTATTATACAGATCAACTAAATTTTATCTAAAAAAACGAAATTGATGGGAATTTTGCATCGGTTACAAGTTGGAGAAGCAATAACAGAAATTAGTCGTAGGCTGTTAAGGAGATAAACATACGCTGAGAAACGTATTGTTTGAGTAATGCAAAGGAATTCATCGGAACTCATCCTAGTGCTCAGGTTCCTCCTTATCATTCTTTCTAGCTGGCATTTTATTTTATTTTTTGTTCGTTTCCTTCTCTTATGCATCATATATGTATGGATAGATTTCATTTCAATTTTAGTAAATCCACACTGAAGCCAGGCCTTGAAATAACAAAATCTTATCATTCGGCCCCAAAAACTTTCTATTAATAATTATAATATCATTTCGGATGAATTATATAAAACATATTTTATATAGGTTTAAAGTGTAAGTTTGCTTACCACTAAGCATTTAGGTCGGCTGGTAAGGGGTTATCCTAACTTAATCAAGGGTCTCGAGTTCGAGCCTCGGGAATGCAGCGGTGTTAAATACTTAGTGGTAGGCTAGCTGCCTTTGGGGTCCTGCGACGGCCGAATTCGGATTAGTCTAAGCCCGTTGAGTTTCCCATGATATAAGAACTTGCTTGGGATACCAGGTGAAGTAATTCAAAAAAAAATATACGTTTGCTTTAAAAATTTGAAATTATAACAATATTACCCCTTATTGTTAAAAATATTAATAGTCAATGTTGGTTTTTTTAATGGTATGGAGTAATATTACTATGATTTTAAATTTCGGAGCAAATTTATGAGTGAATGAGTTCATGTAATAAAAAAAAATGTTTTACAACTTTCATATACACAGCATGCCCTAATTTGCTTTGGCAACACAAGACATACACTAGATTAGTCTAATTTATGTGAACTGATACTCATTACTATTAGTATTAGTTATTTTATATTATTACCTGTGTATGACTTTACCATAACCTTTTATCTAAAAAAATTTTTACATGAAGTTATCACTAAATTTCAAAATCCATTTAAAATATTTTTTTTCCTAATTTAGAAGTAAATATCCGGTAACACAAGAGTGACTTTTATAGAATTCTGGTCAAAAAAGAGTGACTTTTATAGAATTTCATAATACTCAAATTATGATTAAGATTTGATTTATGATTAAAATGATTGTAATTTTAAGATTTTTTTAAAAAAGGTATTTTTTAAGATTTGGAAAAACTTGAGTGGAAACGAAATTATGATTTTAAAAAATAATTTTATTTTACATGAAATAAATATGTGAAGGAATTGTCTTGATTTACAGAAAAAAAAACTTTTTAAAAATAATTCTATGATCTTCCAAATACCCCTCAATTCATAATTTTCCTATCAAATTTGGTGACGCCCTAGGTGTCCATTGTCTTCCAGATGGACCCTACATGGCATGCCTCATGAGCATGATGCTAGGCCCATCAATTATGAAGCTTAATGTTCCCACTATGTGGATAAACATTTCTTTCTACATCAATACAATAGGATCTCCCCAGGAAAAAAAAACAAGAAGAAGAAGAGAAGGTTATTTGAAAATTAATGTCAAGTTGACTTAATAAAAGAATAAAGTGTTAATCCAAAGATTTGATTTGTACTTTATATAATTGTTTAATTATTACTTAAATTTGATAATTTGTCCAACCCTGGAATGTAATTTTGTCTTGGTCTTGATGATTCTCACATAACACACAAACATCCCCTTGTCTTTCCTGCACTTAGGATTGAGATTAATTATTATTCTAACCTTTGTCTCATCATTAACAAGTAGAAACAAAATTTATAGGAAAATAAAGTAAACAAGAAAAAAAATATAAATTTGTCATAAAGTATTGGAATCGATCTATCAAAACAATGTGATTCTCCGTGTGTAAAGGGTGTTTGAAAAACCATAAAAGTGCTTTTTAAAAAATACTTTTCAATAAAGTGAAATAAATTTCTCAACATATTTACTTCATATACTGTAAAATTACTTTTAAAATCATGGTTTCGTTTTTACCCAGACACTTCCTTGGAAACTTGAAACCATAGTGAATTTAAATAGAACATTATATCTATGATTCTTTCTATGTTATAATTCATGCTTAACTTTCAGCTAGTCTTTTGATTCAATTACTTTCAAGTTTGTGTAAATAGTACCATGACCATATTTCCAAGTTCTTAATATAAATTATGTTTTGAAAATCTCTATAACAACACTTTGTTTAAGGCGGAAATCAAAAATCCAAGATTTTGTTGCCTTGAAAATTTCATGAAGATTACTGGGGGCAGTTATATTCAAAAGCTATATTAAAAAATTCGTTAGTTGATTCACTCTCATATATTTTACTTCATGAATCATAAGTTATGGTTCCTAATTTTCTTGAGCTAATCAAAACGACAGATGACTTTACGTGTCCAAATCTCAACCACTTTATTTAGAGCTTGTGGTGATGCCTAAATGCACACACCCAAGCATAGGACAAATCCATATGGGTAAAAATTCTTTGGGATCCCCTAAAAGAGAGATCCTCTAGTAGGCTTTCGGTGATAATTTGAAGTGTTCATTCCTCTCTTTGCTCTGCTTTTTTTTCTCTTTTTTAGCTTTACTCTTCAACAAAAGATTGTTTTTGGCACAGTAAAGAATATAAAATCCAACCCCAGATCCTAATCATCATCACCACCCTGCTTCCTCCATAATTGTTCCTCTCAGTTTTGGAAGATGCTCCACCAAGTCCAAGCTCCTCCTAGCTCGGACAAAAGCACAACCTAAAGCTAAAGCTGCTGTTTCTGACTTTCTTCTTCCCCATTCTTCTATCTCTCTCTCTCTCAAGTCTTTTTCACTTCCTTTGACTCTGTTACTCCTACCCCATTTTGGTCCCTATTTCAACCAACATTGTCACCTCCTAAATTTTGAAACTTTTTTCGCGGTCATTGCTGTCCCTCGATTCAAGTTTCTGTTTTTGTTCCCCACAGACAGAGGTTTTTCGGTTCCAATATGGCTATAGATTTGTGCTCTGAGATTTCCAGCGCGGGAATCAGCCCACGAATCTCTTTCTCGCATGATCTGAAGAACACTAAGGATGATGACGATGATCCACTTGAAGATCACCGTCGCCGGCGATCGGACTTGTGCCTGTTGGACTCCAGCTCCGACTTTGTGTTCTGCATTTCCAATCATGTGTTGTCTCAAGAACTGTCCTCTGCCGATGAGCTTTTCTCCAATGGCAAGATCGTGCCGATGGAAATTAAGAAACCGAAATCTCCAAATGCTTCTTCTTCTTCTTGTTACAGTGAGATTCATCCATTTTCAGAGTCTGGTGTTTGTCCTCGTTCTGAAACTTCCAGCACTGGGTGTACGGAGAAGAAGAAGAGACTCGTAGAGTTCTTAAATGAAGAAGAAAAGCCTCCATCGAGATCTTTCTGGCAATTCAAGCGAAGCAGCAGTTTGAATTGTGAAGCCACACGCGGGAAGAGCTTGATTCGATCGTTACAGTTTCTATCGCGAAGCAAATCCACTGGTTCATCCCTAAATCCAAAACAATCTGAGATTCCGAAGGAAACACAGAAACAGAGGTTGCAGAAACAGTCCTCTGTTTCAAGCAGAAGGCCATCATCATCGTCATCTTCATCTTCATCTGCATTTTATTTCTATAGCTCGTCTCGGAATCCTCCTTCTTTAAATAAGAAATGTGGATCTTCTGGCAATGGGGTTCGAATCAGTCCTGTGTTGAATCTACCGCAAGCGTATATTCCCAAAGCATATGTGGGTTTCTTTGGATTTGGTTCACTTTTCTGTAATGGGAAGATCAAAAGGAAGAACAAGTAGAAGTTTTTGTACATTTTTTTCATTACTATCCTTTTTTCCCAGTTCTTCTTCTTCGTGATCAAATCCTCACCTGCAAACAGGTTCTACTTCCAGCATTTTGGCTCATGCTGCTCGTATGACATGTGACTTGTGGGGCTTCCTGTGGATTATTCAGTAGGGCAATTAAAAATATATAAAATCAATTAAATGCTTGGCTGAGTAATTTTGAAATTGATCAATTTTTTTCCGATGAATTACAGAAAAACTAGGCTCCTCTAGTATATATTTGACCTATTTTCTTTATTACATGTAATTTCGAGGGAAAAAAGCAAGAGTCAGTTGGTTAATAATAGATTTATTATGGACTTTATCATGTATCGTGATTAATGAAACATTGGTTATGATTATTATTATTCTACTACTAGTTTTTAATAATAACATAAATATAATATGTAAAATAAACTATTTATGGGATTATATAAAAAAATACATGATTTACATGAAATTTATCAATATCAATAAATACTCACATAACTAGGTTAATATAATTTTTAGTCATTTAAATTTGTTTTTATTTTAGTTTTAGTTTCTTAAATTTTAAATTATAGGTTTTGGTCCTCTATGAGTAAAATAGTTCAAGTTTTTATTAAATTATAAGAACTGATGTTTTAAATAAGAAAACCTTAAGGAATCAAAATTAAAATGAGGACAAATTTAAAGGACTAAAGTTTGTGTGTTTAATTAATTTGTTCATACTCAATTAGATTATCGAGAAATCTAAGCAGAAAATCTCAAATTTGCATGAAATGTCATTGTAAAATGGAATGGACCATGAGAAATGAAAGCTACAGTGGCTTGAAATGGACAAAAACAAATAAAGCACATCACCATGTTTAAAGCTTAGGAGACATAAATAAACAAGCCATCCTTCTTTTATGGGCTCTCCCATGCCTTTTCTCTTCTTTTTATCTTTTGATCTTTGTTTCTCTTAATAATTACATGTGACTGCTTGCTTTGTGTGTTCTTTTCAACATCGATTGAATACTTGTTCTAGGGTTCTATTTATTTCCTGAGCATGCCCATAAAATTGTAAATTAATTTTTCATCGGCCCCACACAAAAAAAAAATCGTTATTTTTGTTCTATTTTGTGGCATATGGACAAAACAGTTCAGTCAAAAAATAATAGGTATAAAATGAAGGAAAAATTTAAAAAAAAAACTGTTGAATTTTAAAATTTCAAATTAGTATGAGATATTATACTCGTAAAAAGAATAACTACATTAAAAAAAACTAATGACAACATATTTCTTATTAATTCTTGATTTAAAATTTTAAAATTTAACAATCATTTTTTTTTTTAGATTTTTTCTGAAAAGAACCAATTATTAAGAGATTTAGCTACAACTTGCTAATTAACGTTTGCACACATGGATATCAATAAGGGAAAATGACAATAAAATACCACTTGAATTCCAAAAAGACAAATAAGACACTTGAATAAGCAAAATGACAAATAGGGCACTGGGTACCAATCTGGAATTCATATTTTCGGCCAAAAGACCAAAATGCCCTGATGAAATGCGGGAAGACAGACGCTGAAAGTGAGAGAAAGGAGAGAGAAAGACCAACGCAGTGAGAGAAAGGAGAGAGGAAGACCGACGCTGATGAAATGCGAGAAGAAGGAAAGAAGAATGTTGGAAATGCTATTATCTTACTCCTTCGTATCACCATTTTGTAGAGATTGTTGATTTTGGTTGTGGGAAAGAGGATTTGTAGTGAGAGAGGGAGTGAACCGAAGCGGAAATCAGAAAACAATGGCAAGCAATTACGTAACATAACTGCTGTCATATGCCTGCTAGTTTTTGGTAAATCCCACTACGTGAATGGTAAATTTCACTATACATGTAGTTAATTATGAAAGTTAATAGTTCAATGTTTATTGTGACGTACTTCAAATGCACGTTTACTAAATGATTTATTTATGCTTATAAGTTGCCTTTCCGGTGAAAACAGGTTTACAAAACCCATTGAAAAAGTAGTCACTTTCACTATAAAAGTTGTAAATCCCAGTATATGTTTTGTAAAATTCAACGTGAAATTTTATTGGTTTTTACAAACAAGTTGCCCATCCCTTGAAAACTGGTTGCAAAAGCCATTTAAGAAGTGGTCATTTTCACTATAAAAGTTGTAAATATCACTGTGTGTTTTGTAAAATTCAGCGTGAAATTTTATTGATTTTTAGAAACAAGTTGCTCATTCCCTGAAAAGAGGTTACAAAACTCATTTAAAAAGTGGTAATTTTCACTACAAAAGTTGTAAATATCACTCTATGTTTTGTAAAATTCAGTATGAAATTTTATTGGTTTTTAGAAACAAGTTACCCATCCCCTGAAAACTGGTTGCAAAAACCATTTAAGAAGTGGTCATTTTCACTATAAAAGTTGTAAATATCACTGTGTGTTTTGTAAAATTCAGTCTAGAATTTTATTGGTTTTTAGAAACAAATTGCCCATCCCCTGAAAACTGGTTGCAAAAGCCATTTAAGAAGTAGTCATTTTCACTATAGTGGTTGTAAATTTCACTATACATATAGTTAATTATGAATTTTACAAAATACATATTGTGATTTACAACTTTTGTAGTGAAAGTGACTACTTTGTTAATGGGTTTTGTAACATGTTTTCAAGAGATAAACAACTTGTTTGTAAAAACCAATAAAATTTCACGTTGAATTTTACAAAACATATACTGGGATTTACAACTTTTATAGTGAAAGTGACTACTTCTTCAATGGGTTTTGTAAACCTGTTTTCACCGGAAAGGCAACTTATAAGCATAAATAAATCATTCAGTGAACATGCATTTGAAGTACGTCACAATAAATATTGAACTATTAACTTTCATAATTAACTACATGTATAGTGAAATTTACCATTCACGTAGTGGGATTTACCAAAAACCAGCAGACATATGATAGCAGTTACGTTACGTAATTGCTTGCCATTGTTTTCTGATTTTCGCTTCATCTTTCCCACAGGTTCATCTTTCCCACAGCTTCACATTCTCTGAAAATGGTTTTATGCGAAGAACAGAGACAGAACCAAAATTTTTTAGAGAAATGCTAGGCAATAACATTTTAAGCTGTAGGAACCCATCGAAAATCAGCGTCTTCCTCTCTCCTTCCCCTCTTCTTCCCGATTTCATCAGCGTCTTCCTCCTCTCTCCTTCCCGTATTTCATCAGTGTCTTCCTCTCTCCTTCCTCTCTCGTTCCTCTCACTTTCAGACAAGGGCATTTTGGTCTTTTGGCCAAAATCTGAATTCCAGATTGGTACCCAGTCCCCTATATGTCATTTTGCTTATTCAGGTGCCTTATTTGTCTTTTGAAATTCAGGTGGTATTTTATTGTCATTTTCCCTATCAATAACTGGTTTTTGTCCATGTGCTCTCTTTTTTGGTACAACTTTTGTCCAGTACTTGTTTATGAAGCTTGTCATCATTCATAAGCGTGGGCCCATTAAATAATACTTAAACTTAACTTGGTCACTTTTTTCCGATAGACTGGATTTCTTTTTATTGCGGCCATCATAAGATAATTAGCGGGCCAACCTATCAATGATTGTTTTATATGTTTTTATAATATTAATAATCAAATTGATACCTACAGGATCAGATCTAGCAAAATTGGACTAATCTCTCGTAATGTGACAAATTAAGATTGAAATTATTATTAGGAAAAGTATTTACATTTAGTGCATAATAGTACTTTAAATAAGATTACTTTAATAGAAAGATACATATACCTAACGTGAAAAATATCAAATTTACTCCAAAGCTTTCAAACATAAGCCATGCAAAAAACCATTTTATATAAGTATTTTTTTACTTGATTTGTAGATAATTGTTCTAGCTATATATATATATAAATGATAAATCCTTCGACCAAAAAAAAAATCAAACATGCAAATATGAAATATGAAGCCAAATGTTTCATTACAGAAGTCCCCAACCCCCGCCCCCAAAAAAAATTCAGAGAGCTTAAAATGAATAAAATTCTAAACTTTGAGAATGCATAAATTAATTAATTTATTTTTTCTAAGATAATCCTTATAATAATATAAATGTTAAATATTACATCAAATGATAATTCTAATTAATACGCATGATTAGCAAGATTATTTTAGGGAACACCACATTATTTGTTACAAATAACTAATTTAACTAATTTTTTTAATTTATTTAAATTAGTTAATTAATTCTTATATTAAAGACCGGAGGTAGCATAAATTATAAAATTCCAGTCACGGAGAAAAAGAATCTTGGTGAGAAAAATGCCAGAGCTTCCAATTTTTACATTGGTAACTGATTGATGATCGTAACAAAGGTAATGACTTCAACTGTAATATACTCCCACGTGTAAAATATAAGAAACGTTTAACTATTTCACAATAATTAGAAAGAAAAGATAGTTAAAGAAAAATCACAAATAAAGACCGTAAAATAGGAAAAATCACAAACTGGGACCCATAACAACATTAACATGGTTTTGACAACAATAACATAGGTTTTAACAACTATTTTTGTAATTTTTCTAATTTCACAGTCATTATTTGTGATTTTCCCATAGTTAAAAGTGGTTTGCATCGTTAAATAAAAAAAATAATCACCAACTTTTAATATTATCCTCCAATTAAAATCAATCTATCTTGCTCATCTGTTGATCTGTTGCTTATACTACTTTCTGTTCTTAATATAAGAGCTAGTTAACTAATATGATTAGTCTAAGAAAACTAGTTAAATTAGTTATTTGTAAAAAATGAGTGCTGTCTTTCTTAAAATATCCTTCTCCTCATCGAGTATATTGGTTTGAACTATCATTATTATAAAGACTATCTTCAGAAAAATAGATAAATATAAAAGACAAAGTAGATTGGGATCTTATATTTAAGATTAAAACAAAATTCAAATAAAGTCTTATATTAAAAACCGAAGGTGGTATAATTTTTCCCTGCAATACAGTAACAAGGGCATTTATGAAAAACAAAAATCTAATACCATTGACTTTTTGCGGAGAGTCCTACATTTTGGACCAACACTAGCTAATAGAAAATGTCGAATATTTTGGATCGGAGGACGCAAGAGCATTATTGTCATTGCGAAATTGCTTTTTTTTTTTTTTTCCTGCTTTGTTTTCTCCTCTGTATCCATAAAGAAGAAGCGATAATAGGATCTCTCAGGTTTTCTCTTCTCTTTATTCTTTTTTCCTGCTAACTTTTCTTCCATCCAAACGGAATATTTGATATGCGAAAGAATAGCAAATAAATTAGTGTAAGGCAAACAGAATAAGTGAATAATGTCATATCGTTTGATTTCTTCCTTATATAGTTTAATTGATTTGATTTAAGTGAGTTTAGGCCATATCGATTTTGATGATGCATTATTTAGGCACTTGACTCGTGGGAAAACAAATCCAGTCTTTGGAGTTCTTCCATCAACAAGGGAATTCTCATATATCTCCTTGCAAACTTGTACGACCTGCTTAACAAAGATAAGAAATAAGAAATTCATCAATATCAATAAAATTTCTCCGGCAAAACTCTTATAACTAGTAGCTGACTTTCACTTGTACTCCCTCCGCTCCTTATTGTAGGGCATTTTCTAGAAGCTTTTTTTTTTTGGTTTTAAATATAAGTCGTTAACTAATCTACTAATTGTTACTTTCTAATTTTACCCTTGTTATTATGGTTTAGTATTAAAAAGCTCAATGAACTTTGTGTTTCTCTATCTACATCATTTAGTTGGGGTAAACTTGAAAAAAAATTAGCAAAATAACCAGTGAATTCTGTTTACCTCCTTGGCATCCTTCCGAGTAATGTCTTCTCGCATACCAACAAGCTTTTCAACAACTTCAGCCTACAAGAAGAGCAGGGCAAAGTGATACATAAAACGGGACTCTATTAGAAGTTTAAAACTTCATGGGCGCTTAGACTTGTTCTTCTAAAAGAAGGGGACAAAATGCTGTTTTTGAACTTCATAGTTTCCTACTTGAGTTTTATTGATGTTGTTTGTGTCCTTCTATTAGTGATTGGCTGAACCTTTTCTGCCCTACATCCCCTATAAATTGTAAGGGTTAATATTATTATCGGTCCTTACAATTTTAGCTTTAGTTCCAGTAATTTCAAATCGTGTTTTTTGGTTCCTTTAATTTCATAAAGACTTGGTCTGTGTATAGGGACTAAAACCAAAATTTGTTAAAAGTACATGATCAAAACCAAAACTCATTAGAAGTATAAGAATCAAGTGAGTTTTGGTTTTGACCCCTATACTTTTAATGAGTTTTAGGTCTCTATATTTAAGTGTTAGTCCTAGTGAAATTTACTGTAAGGATCAATAATGATAATAATCCAAGTTGCAATTAGTGTGTTGAAAATAAATATAAATTTCAGAGTAAAACCCTTCACATAGTTGTATTTGCAGCCACATATTTATATCATATTGAGGATAATTTTACCGGGCAGTCTGGTTGGTGTTCAAGAATATTTGAATAGATGAGGCTGAAGGCATCCAAACTCTCAGCGGAAGCAAGTTCCCTCAAGTCGCTGAGTATCCTCAATCTGCTTTCAACTTTCTAACCCAAAATGTCAAGCAAATTACAATAAGAAGCTTTACACTATATGCCACAGACCCAACAACATAATTTGAACATTAAAAAGAGAGCACTCACAAAAACACTTGTATGTTTCCGATAAAAGCTCATGATAACTCTTCATCTAACCTCATCCTTTCAATTGTTTTTCCTGTAATGTTGCTTTTCTGCAATCAAATTGACCAGTGAGACACTGATATCATTACTGGTAAGTTGTTAAACATGCACAGTTGAAGTCTGGATATTGAAAAGATAATTAGTAATTTTAAGAACCTGTGTTAGAAGATGATCAATATATACGATCACTGTTTCCTTAAGGCAGGCTTCAACACATTCTCTAAAAGATCTTTCATCAATGTACCTTGGATGATAAGAAGTTATATTGCGTCAGGAATGAAACCAAGTTGGAATACATAATAATGAACATCTCAAACCAAGAAACGTCTTTCCTTCCTCTGCAATTTTATGCATTACACTTCTATTAGAACATAGGAATAATCCTCAACCCTTTCATAGGAATAATTTTAAGCCTTATCCCATTTGTTCTCCTTTATTCAGAA